TACACTTATTTTACAATCTGAAATTAGCACTAAGTTCGCATTAAAAATTTTATATTTATCTTTTTATTTAACTACAATGAAAGGAAATTCTTACGTTTTATGTTGTCTATTTCTTATTTTAATAAATACGTTTCAAAATACATAAAATATATGTACAATTTTAATTTTTTATTTTTGCTGAAGAAATAGTTATATTTGATGCTGTTTATTTTTATGTTAAAAAATATCTTTAAATGATGCCAAATTAATACATAATCAAACTATAAACCTATATTATTGACCTCTATTCTCAAACCCTGAATGCATTATCGCTGTAATCGAATGATTTCAAACATGTCCTACTGAGTGGCACGCTGAATCCTATTGGTAGATTGGTTTGGCAAGCCACAGTTAAAAGGTTGCCTACCCTTGTGCTAAAATGATTCATAAAAATACTGCTAAACACTTAACTAAAGCAAAAACACTCATGGTTAAGAGTCCAACTATAAATGTTGAATCCTGTATTCAGTGTCTCATTCCTTTCTAAATGTATTGCATTTCAAAATTTGAATGCAAAAAGAAATTTGTATGCAATAACAGATTGCCTCCTACTGGTGCCTGCATCTTTAATACAAATGTACAGTTTACTGTTACATAATCAACTTCGCACTACGGTTTAAGATCGGAGTGGGAGGGAACGAAGGAGGGGAAAAGATCAATTTTAATACGACTGGGTTCCAGTGAGTGAATGTTAACGTCCCACTGTTCAGCTACACGAGAGCTTTTGGGGACGATCCGCGTCATTTTGAACCATGGTCAAGTGACGACACCTGAGCTGGCACACCCTCTCCTAACTACCACACCACACCAACGGGAGCACGTTTGAGCTCTCGACAGATTTAACGTGTGCATTGCTCCACTACACGGCGGGTCTTCAGTGGTACTGGGATCGAACTCATGATACGCTAGCCACGATCCGATGCCTAGGCCATTTGGCTACCGCAGCCCGACTGGGTTCGAAGGTCAGGCTAAAGTTTCTAATTTGACGTTTGGAAATAAATATGTTTTGTTAAATACACTTATGTTTTTTTAATTCCTGCTAATAATTCACTATCTCCCTATATATATATATATATATATATATATATATATATATATACGTGTCACACAGTGTTTGTCCGCAATGGACTCCGAAACTACTCAACCGATCATAATATAATTTTGCATACTGTGTGTCATTTCGTCCAACTTAAAGCATAGGATGGTTTTTATTTCAATTAATCACGCCATAATTTGTTTATTGCCGGAAATGCGAAGAAACCGGAAAAAACGTTGCCAGATTCCCGTAAGGGAATAATCGCAAAATGTGTCATTGCTCATGTATCTGTGGAAGCAGATATTGTAAACCAAAATGCACGAAAATTAAGTAAATGGCGTATTTCAGGGTGTGGAATCCGATTTTCGAGTCAGTTTCCAAAATAACCGTAACTTTGCCGGATAAAGCCGGCCGGCCGTATTTTAGACACACCATAACAGGGGCTTACATTAAAAGCATTGAATCGTGAAAACTTGGACCCTGGCGTACTTCAAAATGGATAATCCGAATCTGATATCCAGTCTGAGAAATAACTGTAAATTTGCCGGATAATTCCGGACGACCATTTATTACGCAAACCGTGGCAAGAGCTTACCCTTAATGTCTTGGTGTGGAAAAAGTGCGTTTCTATTGTAATTCGGGATAGTGAACGAGAGTTTGAAATCGAATTTTAGAAATTCCTGTAACTTTGACAGATAATGCCGGACGACCCTATTGGCCCTTCCAGGTACTGGACTTGCCGGCTCAGGGAAACAAAAGTAATTTCCTGTTGTATCTAGGGGCGGAAAACGATAATTTGAAATTATATTTCAGAAACTCCACTAAACTTGCCGGATATTGTCTGAATAAGGAGAAAAGGCAAATGATTCGAGTCCCGCGTCCGGATTTTCATTATCTGTAGCGACTGAACTTGCTAGCGCTGGAGCATCAAAGGTTAGCTCCGTGTGCATTTCGGAGTGCGAAATGAGAATCTGAAATTGAATTTTAGGAGTTTCAATAACTTTGCCGGATAATGCAAGTCGACCGTATTTTAGACACACTGTAGCATGCCTTAAAAGCCTTGGATCATGAAAACTTTGCCCTTGGTGTATTTCAAAACGGATAATTCGAATCTGATATTCAATCTGAGAAATAACAATAACTTTGCCGGATAATTCATGATGACCGTCTTTTACGCAAACCGGGGCAGGAGCTCACCCTTAAAGTCTTGGCGTGGGAAAAGTGTATTTCTGGTGTAATTTGAGATGGTTTAACCGAGTCTGAAATCGAAATATAGAAATTCCAGGATTTTTGCCAGATAATGCCGGGGGATCGGAATGTTCTCGGACAGCAGTACCAGACTATCTTGCCGACGTAAAGTGAGTGAGTGAGTTAATATTAACGTCGCACTTTTCAGCTACAAGAGGGCTTTTGGCGACTGACCACGTAATTTTGAACCATGGTCAAGTGACGCGGACGACACCTGAGCTGTCACCCCCTCTCCTAACTACCACACCACACCAACGGAAGGACGTTTGAGCTCTCGACAGATTTAACGTGAATCGCTCCCCTACACGGCGGGTTTTCAGTGGTGCTGGGCTCGAACTCATGACACGCTAGCCACGATCCCGTGCCTTGACCACTTGGCTACCGCGGCCACTTGCCGACGTAGAGACGCAAAAAGTGGATCTTCATTGTATTTCGGAACTGCCGATCCGAATATTCTCAATCCAATTTAATATAATCTCATATCTACGTCAAATAATGTCAGACGAAAGTGTTTTGCACGAACTGTAGAAAAAGCTTGCTTTAAAATTCTTGAGAAGAGATTTTCCTGGTGTTTTTCTGGATAGGAAACAATAATAATGTGCAATCGGATTTTAAAAACTCCCGTAACTTTGCCGGATAATGCCGACCGACCGTAATGTCCCCCTTCAGAGACTGAACTTACAGTAGCAAGGGCGTCGAAAGTGGGCACCGAGTACTTCTCGGGGTGGGAACGAGAATCTGGATACGGATTTCAAAAGCTTCCGTAAATTTTCTGGAATGAGGTCAAATGGCTTAGTGTTCGAGTTCCACCTCCGGATTTTCATTCCCTGTAGCAACTAAACTTTCAGTTGCAATCGTGCGAAAATATGATTGCAATAGGAAATTGCATCTTCAGGCATTGTTGTCACTGTGTTAGATGGTGAAAAACCTGCCCATTCCACTTTAGCTGCCAATGGACATTCATAAAATACAAGATGCAATATGTACCATTGAAAAAAAGAGTGGATTGGCTACAGTATTGCAAATGAATTCAGTCATGATCAGGGATAAGTGTACCATGAACCATAAACATTCACTCAAAGCATTACATAGAGCTTTGCAAGATTTAAATGGCAACGAGAAAATATTCGGTATTGCTGTTGTATTACTGTCTGGTGATTTCCGACAGGCATTAACAGCCATTACACGCTTTACTTTTGCTCACGAGATTAACGCCTGTTTAAAACAATCGTTTTGATGGCGAAACGTGGAAACACTTCGACTGACCATAAGCACGCGAATACATTTGCAAGATGATCAATCTGAGCAAATATTTCCTAACCAACTACTGAATATCGGAAACGGTGAAATAGAACTTCATCCCAATACATAATGCATGAAATAACCAGACGCTTTCTGTAATGTTCTTTAGGCAAAAAGGAACTGATTGAGAATGTCTTTCCGGGGATACACTGTATAATTATCTTGATAATTATTGCCTCTGTAATCCTGTTACTTAATCAGAAAAAATGCTGATATTGTGATGAAATAAACTTTCAAACACATGGTTGTTGCCATTTGATCCAACGTTTTTTAAACCAATCGGTACTATTGTTGATGAAAACAAAACCGTAAGTTTTCCAACCGAGTTTTTGAATTTTTTCGATATATCAGGAATGTCACCACATAATCTTCGGTTGGTTCCCTGGTTATTATCTGTGTAACTTAAATTCTCCTAGATAATGCAACGGTGCACGTTTGATCATCAAAAAATTACACCTGAAACTTCTTAAAGCAGACATTTTGACTATAAAATTTGAACGAAAATTCGGTTCTGCTACTACGGAATTTGTTGCCACGTATTCCACTGATACCGTCAGAATCTCTAATACCATTCAAAAGGCTTCAATTCCAATTTGTTTGGCTTTCGCGATGATCATAAATGAATCTGAAACCGAACAATATCCATTTGATACTTGGACTTAGAAAATCCATGTTTCTCGAATGGGCAACTAGATGTTACATGCTCACGTATGCGGAAACCGTTGAATCTATTTCAGTTAGCAAAATACGGGTTACCAAAAAATATTGTGCACCGATTAGCGATTAGTTGTATAAAATTATTATTTGTTATACTTTAAAATGATAAAAATACTTTTAAAAATTGCAAAGAATCAACGTTATTCACCACATTTATAAAATTAAATCTTCAAATGTTATTACTTAACGACTTCGTTAGTAATTCATGCATTATACTACACTCAAATAGGAGATGAATGAAATGCAAAATTAAAATAATTTGTTGTTTTATACTTTATTTCAACCCTCCAAAATTATAAACGAAGATTAATTTGACTGCATTGAATAGCTTAGAATATTATTGAACTAACGTATTAAAACAAAGCCACAGCAACGCGTGGCCGCGGGTCAGCTAGTATATATATATATATGTATATATATATATATCTTGTGTTCAACTTTTCAATCATTAATAAAATATTTTCTATTCATCCATTCAAGTTCAAATACATTTTCTTTAACTTGTAGTGGATGACACTTGATGTTAATATAGTTTTTCAAATATTAATTCATTAGTTAAATTAAAAAATGAATAAATTGTAACAAAAAAATAAAATAGTCCAGCAGCATATATAGAAAGAAAAACCGCTCGTTTTCTTCCTGTGAGTGCAAGCGCAATGGATAGCGCAATGGATAGCGCGTTGGACTTGTATTCCAAAGGTTATGGGATCGAATCCCACCTGAGATTACCTAATTTTTGAGAATGGGATATCTTCTTACTATCCTATTTTGTAGGAATAATTAAATTTAATTGATGAATAAACAGAACAAGCAAAAAAAATATATATATAGTCCAACACCCTATATAGAAAGGAAAATCGCTTTCTATTTTTTCTATTAATATAGTGATTCTGTGTCATATGTATATACACATTTATAAAAAGTGTAATAATTTAATAAAAAGTAGATCAAATAAAAATTTCTTTGCTGACCGGAATTGACTTAAAAAAATATTATTTGTTACGGCTGGTGATGGATGCAGAATTTAATGAAAAGGTTGATTATAGACAACGCCGCAACAGATAGATGAAGAGTGAATGAATATTAACGTCGCACTGCTTAGCTACACGAGGGCTTTTGGCGACGGACCTCGTCATTTTGAACCCTAGTCAAGTGACGACACCTGAGCTGGCAACCTTTCTGCTAACCACACCAACGGGAGGACGTTAGAGCTCTCGACAGATTTAGCGTGCATCGCTTCTCTACACGGCGAGTCTTAAGCGTCACTAGGTTCGAACGCACGACATGCCGGCCACTAGACCACCACGGCCACTCAACTGATGAAGATATAGCAAGGAAGTTAGGAATTCAATTGAGGTTTGTCAAAGAATAGCAGGCATATATAGCAGTTGGCAAAGTATTAAAATTTCAAATCGCGTCATTATACTTTTTCGCACAATATGGAATTCTCAGTTCGACCTAAAATTACCGATGCGATTCCTACACTTGCTAGAAAAAGTCTGCGTTCACATACTTTTGCTTACATAAACAATGAAAAAGAATTTAAAAGCAGGTATTTCAAAAATATTTTTAAATTCTATTTTATTTAGTTCATTTCAGAAGTATTGAGAAAAACGAAAGTCAATTCTGCTCTCTCAAAGCTTTTAAAATAAAGACCAGATTAACAAAACCCAAGCAGAAAGAATTTGTGTTCACTGTTCTAGTAGTAACTATAAAATTATTTAAAAAGGTGATAATGAGCTATTTAGTAGCTGTGTTGGTTAACCTCGTCTTTTAAGAACCTCCTGGAGTCGTTTCGGCATTGAATTAACAAGTCTGGAGGGGTTTTTTTTCTCAGAGTTTATCTACCCCCATTCGCTCTTAAGAACACTTGTCTTGATAGATACACTATCTGGCCAAAAGTATCCGGACACCCAGTGGTATGGACTTAGAGCGTCATGAGGCACATATTAATATGATGTTGGTTCCCCTTTTGTATGGATGACAGCTTGCACACGTTTGGGAAGACTTTCCAACAATTTTTGATAGGTAACCATAGGAATTGCCTTCCAGGCGTCCATCACAGCTGAAGTGAGTGCTTGCAGTAAGGATGGTCGATTTGGCTGGCTACGTAATCTGCGCTCTAATTCCTCCCAAAGGTGTTCTATGGGATTTAGATCGGGGCTCTGAGAAGGCCAGTCCAGTTTTTGAACACCCATTTCGTCAAACCACGTCTGTGCCACATCAAGCCTCGATGTGTGAATGGAGCAGTTATCCTGCTGGAAGAGAAATGGGCCTTCCCCGAAATATTTCCATAGATTTGGGAGTGCAGCATTCTCCAGAATGTCCACATACATCTCAGAGTTCATGTTTCCAATCACAGGAACTAACGGACCCAGGCCAAACCACGAGAAACACCCCCACACCATTATGCTTCCACCACCAAACTTAACACTCGGCACAATGCAGTCACTAAAGAAACGTTCGCTGGGCATCCGCCAAACCCAGACGTGTCCATCCGACTGCCAGACTGTAAAGCGAGATTTGTCACTCCAAAGAACAATTTTCCACATGTCCACAGTCCAATGAAGGTGAGCTCTAGACCATTGCAATCGATGCTTCGTATTCTGTGGAGTGATGTTGGACTTGTGTGTGGCTGAATGATATGGAATCCCAAGTTTTCCACCAACGAGGACTTGCGATTTTGTTTCACTACCCTTTTCAGAGTTCTACGGCTGCATTCACCAAGTATTTTCGGCCTACCGGTTCGTTTTTCTGCCGTTTCACTGCCTCGACGTTTCCACTTCACAATTACATCACTCTCAGTGGTTTTAGGCTTCCGTAGAATGTTCACAACCTCACGAACTGATTTCCCACAAAGGTGGCATCCCACTATACTGCCACGATCAAAATCACTAAGCTTCCTTGACTTACTCATTGCCTCACAAACGGATAAATACAATCTGACAAACCACTACCAACACTTTTATACCTTTCAATTACGTATCAAACTTCGTCACTTGCCAAAACCACTTTTTTAAGGGGTGTCCGGATACTTTTGGCCAGATAGTGTATATTGTGTTGACGAATCCTACGCTCCAGCAAATCCCGTAGGTGTTCCATAGGATTCAGATCAGGTGACTGCAGGGGCGTGTGCAGTTGACATTCAAGAGCCAAAGCTTCACAATTTCAACGTTATGCTTAGGATTGCTGTCGTGTCGAAAGCGAAACGATGATCCTAGGTCGAGTTAGGTGGCATTTTCCTTAAAATTTTTTTAAGACATGGAGGTAATTATATTTATTCCTAATTGATTCCATATACTCCAACTTGCCAACACTATTGCTCGCCATGCATCCCCACACTGTGACTTTACCGCCGCCATGCTTTACCGTTGGTACTAAATGATCTTTTTGATTCGCTGTGCAAGGTTTTCTCCTTACCAATTTACGACCTTTTATGCTGAAGATGCGAAATTTGTTCTCATCGAAAAATATCACAGTCCTCCAGAACTCTGGAGGCTTAGGTATATGCTCTTTTGTATAAGCTATCCATTTAAGTCGGTTGGTCAATGGCTTTCACTCTACTATGGTATCCGGACGTTTTGAAGATTTTTCTAACAGTATCCTCACAAATGTTTTTGTTAAACTTCTCGTGAATGTCTGTTGCTATTTGAATTGCAATTAAAAGCAAATTTTGTTTTCTCCAAGGATATCATACTTCTTTTTTCTCTGAATGTGAGTTTAGATGGACGACTTGAATGAGGTTTGAATACGTAAATTCCAGCAGATTTAGTAATTAATAACACGCTGGATAGATGAATGCTGCCATCCAACGAATTTGGCTATATCTTGTGACGGATCTATACGCAGCTCTAACTAACTCCTTTGGAATTCTTTAAGGGAAATAATTATTTCAACCAACTTTCACCGAAGGTAAGAAAACATTATTATGCAAATTAAGTTTATTACATAAATTCTGTATTCGCGAGTTTTGAGAGTTTGTGAAGTGAGAATCTAAGATTATTAAAATGAGAATTGAAGATTACCAAAGTGAGGATCGCTTGGATGCGAGGTGACCAAGCCAACATTTAGTGTTCAAGGCCTCAGCTGTAGGAGTTTTGAATTACAAGAGTTCATGTATTGTGTTCATTATTTAAGCAGAGGTTAGAAAGTAAATTGTTAGTGCGCGTCCGAGTTAAAAACGAGCTTGTATAAGATATCGTAGAAATTAATTGAATGTCCGTAAATATTATCCCCATGCTAACTGGTCTCACCTTCGCACTCTAGTTGTTGATCAAAACTATCTTAATTGGATTATTATTGTGTCTGTGTTGAATGTTGTGACATAAAACTATTTTAGTGAATCATGTTGCCTGATCAAATAGTTCCTCTCACACATCTAGCCGGGTCCGAAAGTAGACAAGGGGGGTAGAGTAGAGGGAAGTAGTAATAGTCCCTCATTATAATCTCACAATGACTTTTTCCATCATTCCACATTTTGACAATGATTTTAAGCTCACTGTAACTCTAATTTCCTTCCTCTTAGTTCCCATATTCTTGAATTACTTCGTATCTCACAAAAACGTTACAAATATTGCATTACAGCTTTCCTAAGCTGTTTTACTTGATAACTGAATGTAAAATCCCTGTTATCCTATAACGCCTGTTGAAAAACATTTTAGAAATCAAGAATATTCAAATAGTGAACGCACACTTTTTCTGCCTACTATTTGTGTGTTTTGCTACAAAGCTCCCTTTATCTTACGTAGTTGTAATTCAAATAATTAACGAATTCTTGCATGCTCAATACTTAAATATAATAAACAAATGCATGAAATTTTTTTAGAAAAAAATTATATTTCTATCAAATTGTAAAGTAAAAAATTGTAAACGGTAAAAAGGCCCCCAAAAGGAACCACCAAGGAAATTTGACTCAAGGCCCACTCAAGACTAGCTACACTAGTGGATAGAAACGTAATTTTACAAAATTTTGCTATTTATACTAATGCCCACACAAATTGCAACATCTAGACGAACCAGAGATATCATTGCGAAATTTATTTGGCAGATAAGATGTTGTACAAAGATCAAACGTTTCAAATTACAGCCTCTTGTAGATACTGACAAAATCAGTAGTTAGTGTAGCTGCTATTGTTGGCTATAACTGCTACCTCGGCTTAGAATCAAAGAGGCTTTGGATGTATCCTTCAGGTGCAATACTCCATGCGGCCTCCACATATTGCCAAAGTTGGTCTGGTGTAGAGTGGGTAGTGTGTACTGGGCCAGTGGTTATGGAAGCATGGACCACACGTTTTCGATGGGAGGGAAAGAACAAGCAGACCAGGGAAGCAATTTAATCTAATGGGTACAGAAGAACCCTTGAACATTGCGTGCCGCGTGCGGTCGCACATTATCCTGTTGGAATATGGCTGATGGCAAGCGCTGAATGAATGGAAGGACCACGTGCTCCAACACCTCAGACATGTAGCGCTGGCTGTTCAGTGTATCGGCAATGCGTACTAGAATGGTGTGGCAATGAAATTCAATACCACCCCAAAACGTGACACCGGATGCAGGACCAATGTGGCGATGCATAACGCAACAGTTCAACAGCTTCTCATCACGGTGTCTCCAAATTCGAATCCGACCATCGTGATGTTGTAGGCAGAAGCGGGTCTCGTCAGTGAACACAATATCATTCTGTTCCATAGTCCATATCCACCATTCATCGCACCATTGGCATTGCAA